CAATTTTTTTTTTAAAATGAATTTAATTTTTTAAATTTTTAAAAACTTTCGTGAAAAAAAAAATTTTCTTTTTTTAAAAATTTAAAATTTCCTGCAGCCGGTAGGTTTTCGAACCTAGGGGGGAGCCCCCAAATGGATTTCTAGTCCATCGCCTTAACCACTCGGCCACAGCTGCTTGGGGGAAAGAAATTTTTTCTGTATTTTTTTCCAACTTATATTTATAATAAAAATATATTCAAGTTTTAAAACTGAATAATGGTTTTTTTAAATTCAGGGAACATTCTGTGCAAAAAAGAATGGGTGTTTTTTTAAAACATTCTAAAAAAATACCCCCCTTACCGGAAAAAACGAACCAAAAGGGGAGACCCAAGGGATTTCAATTTCCATCGCCTTAACCATTACGCCCCCAGCTGGAAATTTTTATGTAAATTTCCAATTCTGTTAAATTTTTATTTTTTAAAAATTTCTTTTTTTAAAAATGAATTTAAATTTTAAAAATTTTTGGGAACACTCAGGAAAAAAAAAAATTTCTTTAAATTTTTTTTTAAATTTTAAAATTTTGCACCCGGAGGATTCAACCCACGGGGGGAGCCCCCAAAAGGGGTTTTCAAGTCCATCCCCTTTAAACCTTTTTCCCACAGCGGAAGAAAAGGAAAAAAAGGAAATTTTTTCTGAAAATTTTTCCACATTTTTAAAAAATTTTTGTTTTTAAAAATGAATTTAATTTTTAAATTTTTAAAAACTTTCGTGAAAAAAAAACATAATTTGGTTTTTTTCCCAAAAAATTAAAAGCAGGGGGAATTGAACCTACCGGGGGAGACCCCAAAAATGGATTTCTATTTCCATCCCTTTAAAACCACCGGCCCAAAACAGTTTGTTCCAAGTAAAAGAAATTTTTTTATTTTAAATTTTCCCACAAAAATTTTATAATTCCCGTAAAATATATTCAAGTATTTAAAACTGAAAAAAGGTTTTTTGGGAAATTCGGGGAACATTCGGTGCAAAAAAAGACTTTTTTTTTTTTTAAAAATTTTCTAAAATTGCAGAAATCGCAGCCGGGGGGGATTTCGAACCTACGGGGGGAAAACCCCAATGGTTTAAGTCCATCCCCTTAAACCCAACTCGGCCACAGCTGTTTGGGGGGGGAAAAAAATTTTTTTGAAATTTTTTTCCCCCCCCTTTTTTTTTAAATAAAAATTATTTAAATTTTAAAACTAAAATAAAACTTTTAAATTCGGGGAACATTTTTGGAAAAAGACTTTAAGGTTTTTTTCCACCTAAAATTAAAAATTCGCAGCCGGAAGGATTTGGGAACCTACGGGGGGAGACCCAAGGGATTTCAAGTCCATCGCCCAAAAACCACCCCCAAACAGCTGCCCCGAGAAAAAGGGTAATTTTTTCCCAAATTTTTCTTCCAAATTTTAAAATTAAGAAAAAATATTTCCTTTTTAAAAAACTGAATAAGGTTTAAGGGGAAATTTAGGAACTTTCCCCTTAAAAAAAGGCAGAGGTTTTTTTAAAACTTTCAAAAAATTTAGAAAAATTCGCACCCGGAAAAAAACGAACCTACGGGGGAGCCCCCAAGGGATTTTCAAGTCCATCGCCTTAACCATTCCCCCAAGCTGGTCGAGGAAAAAAAGGAAATTTTTTCCTGAAAATAATTTTTCTTTCCTTTTTTAAATGAAAATTATATTAATTTTTAAAAAATAAATTTCTTTGAAAAAAAATTTTCAAAAAACTGGTTTTAAAAAAATTTTTCTTCACCCGGTAAAAAACGGAACCTACGGGGGGAAACCCCAAATGATTTCAAGTCCATCCCCCAACCATTACCCAAAAGCTGTTTAATTTATAAAGGCAATTTTTTCTGTTTTTTTTCCACATTTTAAATTTTCCCGGTTTTTAAATGAATTTAATTTTTTTTTTTAAAAACTTTCGTGAAAAAAAAAGAAATTTTTTTTAAAACTTTTTAAAACTTTCCACCCGGAGGATTCAAACCCTACGGGGGAAACCCCAATGGTTTTCCCAAGTCCATCCCCTTTTAACCACTGGGCCAAAACCGTTTGGGGGAAAAGAATTTTTTTCTGTATATTTTTTTAAATTTATATTTATAAAAAAAATATATTCAATTTTTTAAAACTGAATAATGGTTTTTGAAATTCGGGGGAACTTTCCCCGTAAAAAGGGCATTACGTGTTTTTTTAAAACATTCTAAAATATTCAATTCCCCGCCGGAAAGGTTCAAACCCTTACGCTGGGAGCCCCCGGTTTGGGGGTCCATGCCCCAAAGGCCCAGACCCCAGCTAAATGAAATTTTTATGGGGTTTTCCAAACTTGAGGGAAATTACAGTAAAATATCTTCAAATTTTAAAAAACGGGAATAAAGGCTAATGAAATTCAGGATAATTCACGAAAAAGAAAATTAGGCTCGGTTTTAAAGCATCTTAAATTTTAGAAAACCCCCCCCCGGGGGATTCGAACCCATGGGGGGAGACCCCAAATGGATTTCGAGTCCTTTTCCCCCCCCAAAAACCACTCGGCCACAGCTGCTTCGAGGGAAAAGCAATTTTTTTCTGTATATTTTCTTACTCAAATTTAAAAATTATAGAAAAAATATATTAAGTTTTTAAAACTAAATAATGGTTTTTTAAAAATTCAGGGAATATTCTACGAAAAAAAAATTTTTTAAAGGACTTTTTAAAAAGCATCAAAAATTTTTGGTACCCGCAGCCGGTAGGATTTAAACCCTACGGGGGGGCCCAAGGGTTTTCCCCTTTTTCCACCCTTAACCCTCGGCCAAAAATTTCTTCGAGCAGAAAGTTTTTTTTATGTATATATTTTTTTACTCAAATTTATTTTTTAAAGTAAAATATTTTAATTTTATAAAACGGGAATAAGGGTTTTTTGAGATTAAAGGAAAATTTTTTAAAAAAAAAAATTATGCTCTTTTTTAAAAGCATCAAAAAATTTAGACAATTGCAGCCGGTAGGAATTGAACCTCCCGGGGCCTCAATGTACCCCCAAGTCCACCGCCCCACTCAGCCCAAAACCGCTGTATACACAGTTAAATGATATGTAATATAAAAAATGGCAATTTTTGAAATCCACACACACAAAAATTTTTTAACATTTCTCTTTTTTTAAAGGTAAAATTTTTATATATATATATATTTTTTAAAAAAGTTTCCCAGTGAAGAAAAACCCCCATAATCGTTAATTAAAGTTTTCCCTGACCGGTAGGATTCGAACCTACGGGGGGAGACCCTAATGGATGTAAATTTCACCCTTTTTAAAACCACTGGGCCACAGCTGCTTGGGGAAAAACCCAATTTTTCTGTATATTTCTTACCCCAAAATTTATAAATAATATTAAAATATACCCAATTTTTAAAAAACAAAAAATAATGACTTTAGAAATTCGGAAAACATTAAAAAAATAGCACAATTTCGAAAGCGGTAGAAACCCGAACCACCAAGTGAGCCCCCCAATGGATTTCAAGTCCATCGTCTTAAACCCCCCCCAGAGCTTGGGGAAAAAGAAAATTTTTTTTATGTATATTTTTTTACCCCTTATTTAATAATTATAGTAAAATATTTTTTAATTTTTAAAAACTGAATAATGGCTTTTGAAATTCAGTTAAATTATGTGAAAAAAAAGACATTACGTACTTTTTTTTAAATTTCTAAAATAGCACAATTGCAAAACGGTAGAAATCGAACCTACGCGGGGAGACCCCAATGGATTTGTGGTCCATCGCCCAAACACCCCCCCACAGCTGTTTGGGGGGAAAATTTTTTTTTGTATATTTTTTTTACTCAAATTTATAATTATATTAAAATATATTAAGTTTTAAAACTGAATAAAGGCTAATGAAATTTGGATACTTTCCCTTAAACGAAAAAAAAAAGGCCCTCAATTTTAAAAGCATCCAAAATTTTAGGAAACCCGCAGCCGGTAGGATTAAAACCTACGGGGGGAAAACCCCAAATGGATTTGAGTCCATCCCCCCTTTCCCAGTTTTTCCCAAAGGGGGGGGGGTGGGGGTTAAAAACCTTTTTAAAAAGGGGGCGAGCATATCAAAAAAAAGTTTAAAAAAAATTAATTTACTGTTAATAAGAAAAAAATACTTTTTTGACATAATACAAAATGCACTTTTTACACTGATAGAATTTACTAGTATTACTTTATCAAACATAAATGCTTTCATTTTGATACATTCTTTGCCCATCCCGATCCTATAAATAAAAAAAAAAATATTACATTTTGTTTGATTTGCTGTAATCCCCCGATGGGGAATTTTTTTCGGTTTTTCTTTTTTAAAACTTAAAAAAACTTTTCAGAGAAAAGGCAAACCCCGACCAGAGAAAAAATTCTAGGAAGATAAAAATTTTATCTGTTTGACCTTCGAACTTATTGCTATGGTTTTGTTCGATCCTTTTTTTGCCTTTTTTTTCATTTAGGGGAAGGGAATTAATGCGCCAATACGCGAAAAAAAGTTATATAACATTTCGAAAAGAGAGAAAAATTTTGAAGGATTATTTGGCCAAGTTTTTTTTTTACCAGTATTTTGAAAAATATAAAGATGATGAAAAACGTTTTAAAAAAATTCATTTTTTGGAAACTTTTTAAAATTCGGGGTTTTAATTTATTAAACATTTAACCCGGGCTTCGCGAGCGGTACAAATAAAAAATTTTAACAAAATATGACAGTTTTTTTTTGCAGATATTATTCCTGTAAATTCGTGAAAAGTTTCTGTGGGTTTGTGTCCTTTATTAAGTTTTGCGTACCTTAGCAACGGTTTTTTAATTTTGGTTGGGTTTTTAATTTTTTCTCAAAATTTATCAATGAAGAAATGTAGAAAATAGGTAAGTATCCTTTCCCCTTCGTTAAATTATTCACTGGGAAATTTTGGGTTTTATTTTGTACAATAAAAAAAAATTGTTTAAAAAACTTTGACTATTACCATTGGTATAGAATGCGCGTTTTCCCCCCCGGGGTTAAAAACAATTTTGGGAAATCTTCCGTTTTGGGGTTAAAAAAAACCCCAATTATCCTTTATCGGATTTTTGCATTCTTTTTTTATTATTTAACATTAATAATAAATGCTAATTTGGAGGGGTTACAATTACACAAAAGTTCGTTTAAATCTATTTATAATTAAGGGGCATTCATTTAAAAAAAAATTTTACATTTTTGTATTCATTTTCCCTTTCTTGGTTTTATTCTCCTTAAAATTTCCCCAAATGCTGACTGGGTGGCGTATTTGGTTTGTGCTGGCCATCTGCACCCCGTTTTTCGGGGCGCCCCAACCCGGGCCGGGGTTTAATGATCCAGAAAAAACGACAGTGGTCACGAACGGCCCAATGTCGTATGAATAAAATTTTGGCATGTAAAAAACCCCTTGGGGGCCCGTTTTGGTTTTGGGTCCAAAAAATTTTAAAAGAAATTCTTTAAATTCAATTTTGCATCGTCAGAGCTCAGGTAATTTTTCGGGGAGGGGAAAATGGGCATCAAAATTACTTGCGGCAAAATTTGGTTTTCGCATATTATACGGTGCCGCACTAAAAATGGGTACCAGCTCCTGGGGGAAAAAGCTTTGGTCTGCAAAGGTAAAAAAAACCAACATTTGCTATTAAACGTTTTAAATTTAGGGGTCGGATGGGTTTTCCTATAGACTCACGCAGACGTTCGCGGGAATGCCAGTGACGGATAAGGGGAAAAAAAAACAACAGAAACGCACACAGGAATTTTAAGGGGGTCCGGGGTTGAAAGTTCACCATTCTTGTAAAATGCTATTTTTTATTTTTTTACTTTCGGGAAAAAAAAACACAGTAAAATCTAATTATTGAATAAATAATTAGCATTAATTAAAAAAAATCTTTAAAAAAACAAATATTTAAAAATTTTACGTATTATATACTTAGAATTATAACCAATCGGAAAAAGCAAGGGATTTTTGAGGTAGGGTCTGACCCCTGAACCCCTTGTGTGCGCCACTTAGAGCATCATGGACTAGACTATTTTTCTAATGACATTTAAACTTTTAGAAATGGATGATGGAAGAAATATATCTTTAAATAAATATCATTTTGCAATCTGTTCCAATTTAAAAAATTATAGATACGAAAATAACACATGATAATTACTCGTATTACTTAAAAGTAATTGGTTTAAAATATATATTACTTATAAAAAGTAATTTGCTTAAAAATATATATTGCTTAAATGTAACAAATACAAAATTTGATACTTTCTTCTGAATTTGTACGGTTTATAATTAAGATCGTATGGTAGCTTTTAGCTACAAAGCGCATTATTATTGTGTAAGGGGGGCGCGATAAAAATTATGATTGAAAATTGAGTCGCGAGTAGTGTAAGTTTGAGAAGCACTGCCTTAACCCTCGGCCACAGCTGCTTCGAGCGGAAAGATATTTTTTATGTATATATTCTTACTCAAATTTATAATTAAAGTAAAATATTTTCAATTTTATAAAACTGAATAACGGCTTTTGAGATTCAGGATACATTCTATTCAAAAAAAAACAAAACATTATGCTCGTTTTAAAGCATCATAAATTTAGACAATTCGCAGCCGGTAGGATTCGAACCTACGCGGGGAGACCCCAATGGATTTCTAGTCCATCGCCTTAACCACTCGGCCACAGCTGCTTCGAGCAAAAAGCAATTTTTTTATGTATATTTTCCTACTCAAATGTTTATAATTACCGTAAAATATATTCAGGTTTTAAAACTGAATAAAGGCTTTTGAAATTCAGGAACATTCTGTGCAAGAAAAGACATTCCTTTTTTTAAAAACATTCTAAAATTCAAAAAACCACAGCCGGTAGGATTCGAACCTACGCGGGGAGACCCCCAATGGATTTCGAGACCATCGCCTTATCCACTCGGCCACAGCTGCTTCGAGCAAAAGCAACTCTTTTATGTATATTTTCCTACTCAAATTTATAATTATAGTAAAATATATTCAAGTTTTTAAAAATGAATACTGGCTTTTAAAATTAAGGAACAATCTGTGCCGAAAAAAGACATTACTCTGTTTTTAAAACATCCTAAAATTGCATTAAATCGCAGCCGGTAGGATTTGAACCTACGCGGGAGACCCCAATGTATTTCATGTCCATCGCCTTAACCACTCTACCACAGGTGCTTCGAGCAATAATTAATTTTTTATGTATATTTTCTTACTCAAATTTATAATTACAGTAATATATCATCAAGTTTTTAAAACTGAATAATGGCTTTTGAAATTAGGAACATTCTGTGCAAGAAAAGACATTTTTTTTAAAACATTCTAAAATTTCCCAAATCGCAGCCGGTAGGATTCGAACCTACGCAGGAGACCCCAATGGATTTAAAATCCATCGCCTTAACTACTCGGCCCACATGATGTGTGCACACAGTTCTTGATATGTAATTTAAATATGGCAATTCTTTAAATCCACTTTTTTAATATTTCTATGTTGTTTTTAAAGGTGCAATTATATATTTTTAAAAACATCAGTGAAGAAATAGTTTCTATAATCGTTAATTAAAATTTCCGCAGCCGGTAGGGTTCGAACCTACGTGGGGAGACTCCAATGAATTTCAAAACCAACGCCTTAACCACTAGACCACAGCTGCGTCGAGAAAAAAGCAAATTTTTTATGTATATTTTCTTACTCAAATTTATAATTACCGTATAAAATATCTTCAAGTTTTTAAAACTGAATAATGGCTTTTGAAATTCAGGGAACATTTTGTGCAAAAAAAGACATTACGTGTTTTTTTAAAACATTCTAAAATGGCACTATTCGCAGCCGGTAGGATTCGAACCAGGGGGAGCCCCCAAGGATTTCAAGTCCATCGCCTTAACCACTCGGCCACAGCGTTTCGGGGGGAAAAGATTTTTTATGTTATATACTTCAAATTTTATATTTAAACTAAAATATCTTAAGTTTTAAAAAAGAAATAAAAACAATGAAATTCAGTGCTTCTACGAAAAAAAAAACATTACGTTTTTAAAACATTCTAAATTTAACAAACCCAAACGGTAATATTCAAACCCTCCGGGGGAGACCGAAAAGGATTTCAATCCATCGCCTTAACCACTCCTGCTTCAAGGGGAAATAAATTTTTTCTGTATAATTTTTCCCAAAATTTTTAAATTATAGAAAAATATATTCAAGTTTTAAAACTGAATAATGGCTTTGAAATTTAACATTCTGTGCAAAAAAGACATTACGTTTTTTTAAAAAACATTCTAAAAAGGCATTTGCAGCCGGTAGGTTTCAAACCCAGCGGGGAGCCCCCCAGGATTTGAGGTCCATCCCCTTTAACCAATCGGCATAGTGCTTCGAGAACTGAAATTTTTTATGTAGTTTTCCCCAACCGATAAAAAAACGTAAAATATCTTCAAGTTTTAAAAACCGAATAAAGGCTAATGAAATTTAGGGTACATTCTACGAAAAAAAAAGAAATTATGCTCATTTTGAAGCATCTTTTTTTAAAAAACCCAGGGGAAAATTGAACTTAGACGGCCCCCGGGGTTTTTGAAGTCCATCGCCTTAACCACTGGTACAGCTGCTTGGGGCCAAAGCAATTTTTTTATGTATATTTTTTTACCTTTATAATTAAAATATTTTAAATTTTATAAAATTGAATAACGGATTTTGAAATTATGGGATCTTTTTTGAAAAAAAAAAAAACATTATGCCTTTTTAAAAACATCCAAAATTTAGAACCCCGCCGGTAGGATTGAATTTACACGGGGAGCCATTAAGGGATTTGAAGTCACGCCTTAACTACTCGGTCCATTTTGTGTTAAGTTCATGATATGAAAATTTAAATTTTTGGCAATTTTGAAAACAATTTTTAACTTTTCCCGGGTTGTTTTTAAAGGTACAATTATATATTTTTTAAAAAACATCACGGGAAAAAAAATTTTAAACTTTAAATTTAAAAGTTCCGCACCGGTATGATTCGAACCTACGGGGGGAGCCCCCCAAAAGGATTTTAAGTCCTTCGTCTTATGCACTCGGCCACAAATGGTTCGAGCGTAATTTTTTATAGTTTTTTAATTTTGTTTTAATTAATTTAAGTAAAATATATTCTTTTTTAAAACGAATAACGGTTTTAAATTCAGTAATTTAGCAAAAAAACACTTTACTGTGCTTTTCGAACAACGAATTTAGAAAATTTCACAGTCGGTAGGATTTAACCTTTTGGGGGGAGACCCCCAATGAATTTCAAGTTATTTTAACCCCCCGGCAACAGGTGCTTCGAGCGGCATCAATTTTTCCGGTATATTTTCTTTCTCTAAATAATTTTTTATATATAGAAAAAAATTCGTTTTAAACGCACAAAGGCTTTTGAAATTCAGGGTAAAATCAATGCTAAAAAAATAATTATTCTCGTTTTAAAGCATCCTTAATTTAAACAATTTTTAGCCGGTAGGATTCGAACCTACGCGGGGAGACACCAATGTTTTTTTAGTCCATGCTTTAATTACTCGGCCACAGCTGTTCGACCAAAAGAATTTTTTTTGAAGATTTCCCAACTTGATTTATAATTACAGTGGGAAAAGTCTTATATTTTTAAAACTGTATAAGGTATTTAAAATTCAGGGTACATTTATGCCTTAAACTCTCAGCTGCTTCGAGCGGAAAAACCCCTTTTGTATACTTTCGTACCAAATTTATAATTATAGTAATATATATTTGTTTAAAACTGAATAAAATTTTGAAATTAGGAACATTCTGCGCAAAAAAAAACATTACGGTTTTAAAAAAATCCATATTAGAACAATTGGGCCGGTGGACTCAACCCACGCGTTGAGACCCAATGGATTTCGGATCGCTTTTAACCACTCCGCCACGGCGTTAGAGCAAAAAAAAAGTTTTTGGGGTATTTTTTATCAAATTTATAATAACAGTAATTTTTCTTCGTCTTAAATTGAATAATGGTTTTTTAAATTCATTGTACATTCTATGCAAAAAAAAAAAATTATCCCCAAAACACGGGGAAATTTAGAACACAACCGGTGGATTTGAACCTCGCGGGGGAAACCCAATGGATTTGAAGTCCATCGCCTTAAAAAATCGGCCCTGCTGTGTACAGTTCATGATATGTAAATTTAAAAAAAGGAATTTCTGTATATAAACATTTTAAATTTCTGGTGTTGTTGTTAAAGGTGCAATTTTTTTTTTTTAAAACATCAGTGAAGAAAAAATTTCTATAATCGTTAATTATAACTCTCGCAGCCGGTAGGGTTCAAACCTACGCTGCTAGATCCCAATGGATTTCAGTCCATTGCCTTAACCACTGGCCATTTTTGTTTGAGCAAAAAGCAAATATTTATGTATATTTTCTTACTCAAATTTATAATTACAGTAATATATCTTCAAATTTTTAAAACTGAATAATTGTTTTTGAAATTCAGGGTACATTCTATGCAAAAAAAAAAAAAAAACATTATGCTCGTTTTAAAGCATCAGAAATTTAGACAATTCGCAACCGGTAGGATTCGAACCCTCGCGGGGAGACCCCCAATGGATTTCTAGTCCTCCGCCTTAACCACTCGGCCACAGCTGCTTTCAGCGAAAAAGCAATTTTTTTCTGTATATTTTCTTACTCAAACTTATAATTATAGTAAAAATATATTCAAGTTTTTAAAACTGAATAATTGCTTTTGAAATTCATTGAACATTCTGTGCAAAAAAAGACATTACGTGTTTTTTTAAAACATTCTAAAATTGCACAATTCGCAGCCTGTAGGATTCGAACCAACGCGGGGAGACCCTAATGGATTTCTAGTCCATCGCCTTAACCACTCGGCCACAGCTGCTTCGATCTGAAAGTAATTTTTTATGTAGATTTCCTAACTTCGATGTATAATAACAGTAAAATATCTTCAAGTTTTAAAAACTGTGAATAACGGTAATGAATTTCAGGGCACATTCTACGAAAAAAAAGACATTATGCACGTTTTAAAGCATCCTAAATTTAGACAATTGGGAGCCGTTAGGATTCGTACCTACGCGGGAGTCCGCAACGGATTTCGAGTTCATCGCCTTAACCACTCGGCTACACCCGATTCGTTCAAAAGAAATTTTTTTATGTATATTTTCTTACTCAAATTTATAATTATCGTAAAAAATCTTCAATTTTAGAAAACTGAATAACGGCTTTTGAAATTCAGGGAACATTCTGTGCAAAAAAAGACATTACGTTTTTTTTAAAACATTTTAAAATTGAACATTTCGCAGCCGGTAGATCGAACTACGGGGGGAGACCCCACTGGATTTCTAGTCCATCGCCTTATCCACTCGGTTGCAGCTGCTTCAATCGCAAAGCAATTTTTTTATGTATATTTTCTTACTCAAATTTATAATTAAATTAAAATATTTTCAATTTTATAAAATTGAATAACGGAGTTTGAAAAATAAAGGGATCATTTTATGCAAGAAAAAAAACAAACATTATGCTCGTTTTAAAACATCCTAAATTTAGACAATTCGCAGCCGGTAGGATTCGAACCTACACGGGAAGACCCCAATGGATTTGTAGTCCATCACCTTAACTACTCGGTCCACTTGCTGTGTACAGTTCATGATATGTAATTTAAATTTGGCAATTTGTAAATCCACATTTTGAACATTTCTGCGTTGTTTTTAAAGGTACAATTATATTTTTTTAAAAACGTGAATGAAGAAAAAAATTCTATTATCGTTAATTAAAAGTTCCGCAGCCGGTATGGTTCGAACCTACTCGGGGAGAACCCAAATGATTTCCAGCCCTTTTGTCTTATGCACTCGGCCACAGATGCTACGAGCGAAAAGTAATTTTTTATATAGATTTCTTAACTTCGATTTATAATTACAGTAAAATATCTTCATATTTTTAAAACTGATTAACGGCTTTTAAATTCAGGGTTTATTCTATGCAACAAAAACACTTTACTCGTGCTTTTCGAACAATCTAAATTTAGACAATTCGCAGTCGGTAGGATTCGAACCTAAGCGGGGAGACCCCATTGGATTTCAAGTCCATCGCCTTAACCTCTCGGCAACAGGTGCTTCGAGCGCGCATCAATTTTTTTCGGTATATTTTCTTACTCTAATTTGTCATTATATATATATAGTAAAATATATTTAAGTTTTTAAAACTGAACAAAGGCTTTTGAAATTCAGGGTAAAATCAATGCAAAACATTATTCTCGTTTTAAAGCATCCTTAATTTAAACAATTCGTAGCCGGTAGGATTCGGGCCAACCCAATATATTTGAAGTCCATCGCCTTAACCACTCGGCCACAGCTGCTTCGAGCGAAAAGTAATTTTTTTATGAAGATTTCCTAACTTCGATTTTTAATTACAGTGGAATATCTTCATATTTTTAAAACTGAATAACGGCTTTTAAAACTCAGGGTACATTCTATATCTTAAACTCTCAGCTGCTTCGAGCGGAAAGCAATTTTTCTCTGTATATTTTCGTACTCAAATTTATAATTATAGTAAAATATATTCAAATTTTTAAAACTGAATAAAAGCTTTTGAAGTTCAGGGTAAAAAAAAATCTATGCAAAAAAATCATTATTCTCGTTTTAAGATGACAGAATACCTTTAAAATACAATTTTTGCTCAAAATATCGATTTTTTTGTTTTTTATCTTATATTAAGATTCCATATTTTATCTTTGTAAATCTGTTTAAATTTTGTTTCTATCTTATTTAGAAGCCCAGTTACAGCTTTCTAAATATTACTGAATCATAAATTTCTCGGACCCGAAATGGTTTTCTGCTAACCGGAAGTGTTCCGACTTGTTTGTTTACGTTTCTCTTTCATGGTATATGACATGAAATATTATAATTAATATACAATTATTTATTAAGAAATTAAAATGGAACATTTAAGATAAATATAAATGTATTTAAATACATTTTTCCTCTTTAGGAAAACCCCTTTT